TGTTTATATATATATATATATATATATATATATATATATATATATATATATATATATATATATATATATATATATATATATATTACAAATCACTTTTGACTAAGAAGGTTATCTATTAACATTGACTTCATAACGTGACATTCAAAATGGTTTGGAACGTGGCATTCAAGATGCTATAAAATGGATATAATTTAATTAATAGAAGGACGTGGATGTCTTTGTTAAAACATACGTTGCATTAGGAATTGCCATATATGACATCAAAGTGAGATATTTTGAATATTAAGAACGATACATGAACTATAAATAGAACGCAAGGCATTCCAATTTTTGTTTACAACTTTTACTCCTTTACACCTTATACTTTCTTTTAAGCTGCAATTAATACCCCAAGCCTAGAATACCTTCCTAGCATCATAAGAAATCCCCGGAGAGCCCGACGTCTTCAAGATAAAGAGTTTTTCGAGTCGAAACTCTGCCCGCGTGAAGGCCGGTTTTTGAGGAAACCTCCCGATTTTATTGGAAACGATCGTTTTAGGGAACGAAGTACTGCCCGATTATCGTTAAATCATGTGAGTGTATAGTCACTTTCATCTTACACATAAATATGAAATCATTTATATAAATACGTGCTATGTGTATATATATTGATTGTTTATTTGAGATGATTGTTGACTGAATGTTTTATACAAGTTTTAAAATAATTTAAACTGTATATATATATATATATATATATATATATATATATATATATATGTATATATTTTATCTACAAATATGTTTGGTATAACATGGGTAGATGAAATAGTTGGTGTGTGATCAATTGATGAGAGGCCTCGTTGTTGTTGTTGTTCAAGTCATCTAGTGGAGTATGGATGACGACCACGGACTCTTCTAGACAGTCCAGTGGAACGCTAGCAGGCTCGCAATCTGTAGGTGTTTGTGGGCTTGATGTTCACCGGTGTACTCCATCCCCCTCATGGTTGCCTTACGGACATATATGGATGAGGAATTCCCTTAGCAGTAAAGTCCATCCCGATGATAAAATCCTTAGACTAGGTTCCTTATATAAGTGTTTAGGAACGTAAAGTGAGGATAACGAGAATGGGTAATCAGGGTTATTATTGGTTTGATGAAATTAATAAATTTATTGTTTGTCGATGTAATTAATAAATTTATTAATATTTGTGGGTTGAAAACCCTATATGCTCACCAGGCTCCCAAGCCTGACCCACTCAGCTTTCTGTTTTACAGGTAGTAGACCCAAAGCATAATTTGGATGATGATAAGGGATTTTTGGATTATAGGCCAGTAGTTGTAAATAACTATTGTAAGGCTTATAATGTACTATTTATGCTTTTGATCTGTATCAAACATGACATCCTGAGTCTTTTTAATGATATACATTTCTACGGAAATGATTTGATAAATCTTTATCATATTATTATTTTGGGAACAAATTCCGCAACACTTTTAATCAAAGGATTACTCTGATTTTATTATAAAAGCATAAAGTAAATTGGTCTTTTCTGGCCGTGAAATTGGGGATGTCACAAAATAACTAGGTAAACAAGTTCATGCAGTTTAATTGTCACTAAGCTACACAAAACATGAGTTTAAGTAACTCAAGAAACAAATGTTAACATGCTAGGTGGTAACAGATCAAACACAAGCAATTTACCAACTAAGGAAATCCATTATCAATAAGCTAATCCATAAGTCAAAAGCTTCATCTAGCTAAACAAGAGTAGCTAGATTCAGCTGCTCATAGCAACTAAAAAGCAAATACAAATCAAATAACAATACATGTTCAAGTATCAAACAAATAAACTTAATTATGACCTCTCACTCCTTTGGTGTTGAAAACCTTTTTCCAGATCTTCTCCTCTGCTAAAATTTGTCTTCTGGAAACCCTTTTTATCTCCCCCAAAAAATAAACACAAAATTTGTATTTCACGTCGTGGAATGGTGCTCCACGTCGTGGTTTAGGAGATATCCTTATCGAGCACGAAATCTTTCTTCGCACGTATTTTTCTTTTGGAAGATTCATGCCACATCGTGGATTAGGTTGAATCCATGAATTTCTTCATATTTTGTACTCCCAGTCTCCAATGTTCCATGTATTGTCAATTTTGGCCCCTTTCTTCGAAAATGCCTTACTTTGGCTGCAAATAACAATTTATCCTTATAAGTGCCATTATTCTGTGCAAATAACCAAAATATCAATAAAAATGTAAATAAATATTGCCTACAAATATGTATAAATATGGCAATATCACAAAGGCAAAATGTCCATCTCAAAAGTCCATCACTCTGAACCCCCTCCAAAACAAAATCTGGTCGGTCGTAGGAAGAGATTAATCAAGCCCTTAAGGAAAGCATCCGGATTCAAGCCTTCAAAGATGATCCTCATCCGATGCTAGGACTCTCTCCTCTCTGCCATGAAGGGATCATACATGATCTGGATATAGTACCGTTTATGTACTATGATCTCCCCAATAATGAATCGGACCAGATTGATTTACCCCTCTCTCATTACAACAAATTCTACACAAAGTTCACTCTTCTCCACCTGGAAGATGATCCACAGATGATCATCAAAACTGAACGAGAAAGATTGAAGACCTTTTTATTCCAAGAATGCACTTCCTAAAAAAGAAGTATGGTCTCGGAAAAGGATCACCATGATTTCCCGGTTCGGAAGGAAAATCTTAACAAAGTTCGAGCTGAATTGTGTGCTGTTCCAATACCACATCTTCCAAAACAAACCAACACAAAAGACCATCACTGATGTTACCTGCACTCAATCCAAACAACACCCTGACCATTGCAGCATACTTTAGAACACACCAACTCGATGATCTTAGCATGGGAGCTTACCATGCTGCCCAGAGCTTTCTCAAAGATTACGTTGCTGCATTTTGCCGTTGAGATTTTGAATTGGCTCATCTATTCAAAACCGAGAATTACTTAGCCAATATTGACTTCAAGCTGCCGGAAGATGAGATACTGGCAGAGGGACCAGTTGACGAACCAATGTTAGGGTTCATGTATCTTCAGAGAATAACCAACAAGGACTTCTTCCGAGTCCTTGATAAACATTTGGTTCCCACCAAGGCGCTTTGGAAGTTCATCAATCATGCATCCAAGTTTGAGGCACCAAAACATGTAAAAGCCAAGTTCATAAGTCAGCTACAGTGGTACATTGAAGTCAGAGATTGGTTGTACCGGACGTATGTGTTCATCAAGGAAGAATAGAACTAAGTTGAATGGATTGCTAAGTTCACCTAGGGGGAGATTGTTGGAACCTGAAAGTGAACCTCTAGCAATCTCTAACATTTGCTATTCCGAAGTCAAGCATATGTCCGAAATGGTCATGGAGTGAGACGGTGATAAAAGTTAGAAATGGAGTTTTGTGGTGCGAAGTGAAGGGATGTTCTGAGATAGTGAATATGTCTGCATTAATTATTCTTGTCTTTTATTTAACATAACCTTACATAGGACTAAGTTATTTTGTCATGTTGGATAATCAGAGTGTCAGATGTAACTCATTTATCCATTACTTTGTATGTATTTTGGTCTGTACAATGTAATTCCTTTTCCTATATAAAGAGTGTTTAATGACAAGAACAAATGACAAATTATTGCTCCAAAGATAGTCTTTTTCGAATTTACTTCACTTTCACTTTTCTATCAAATCAAACTCTTTCAAACATTCTCATTGTTCATTTATTGTCTTTACTTTAATTATACTCATAGTTTCATATTTAATACTTGAAGTACTTTTTTGATTTCTCTATTCAGTTTCGACTGGTCTTGCCAGACTTAACTGGAACATATAATTATAAGCAGATATTGATCTTAAGCATTAACTCAAGGTTTGAGTTTTCAAACCTTGTCCTTGCGCATCGTATCTTTGTTCTTACATGTGTGTTTGGATTCGTTTATTGGTTCATAAATCGAAATGAAATCCACCATATTGTTCTTGTTCATACACATGAATTGTTGCCCATAAAAACCTTCTACTGAAGCATGATATGAAGTTTTTGTAAGATGTTTGATCAGAAATTCCAAATGTATCAAGATCTTCTAATGAGTTTGTTCATAATGTTCTTGAGATCTCTATCTAGTTCATCAGTTGTTCATCGTGTTTTTGAGGCTTCTTCAAATTTGAGTGTGTGTGTATGTGTGTTAGATCAGAACACAAACCCATATTTTCATGTGCGTATGATTTTTTTTTTGTTAAATCTGTCATGGATGATTTATTCAGATTAAAAAACCTTTAATATCCTTTCTTTAAATTAAGTTTGCTCTTAAAAGATCAAGCACTAAATCGTTTCCGGGGTTTTATTCTTTAAAAAACCGAAGTTTTGCTCAAGAAATCATTTCAGATTTGCTTAAGAACACCATGACCGGAGCTTGAAGATGATGAACAATGATCGGGGCATCGTCGGAGCTGTCAAATACGCTGGAAACCGACTAAACCTCCGATAGCAGGTCATAAGGATGTTTTTTGAACAATTTAACAAGTTTAATGAAAAAATATGGAAAAAAAACTCAATGATTAAATGTGTACAAATCAAAAAATATACTACCCTTTTAAGTCATTATCCTTTTATAATATTTTGATATCCCTTGAGTAAATGATCATTTTGTAGAGGGATAATGACTTAAAGGGTAATATATATTTCGATTTGTACACAATTGGTCACTAAGTTTTTTACCCTTTTAACTTGTTAAACTGTACACATTCAGTCCTTATGACCGACTACTCTAAGTTTGCCGGTAAAAATGACTTAATAGGGTAATATATTCCTCACTTTGTACACATTTAGTCATTAATACTTTTATACACATTTAGTCTTTAATATTTTTTATGCAAAATAAGTCATTTTTGTTTTTGTCCTTATTCAATACTAATGAATGATTTCTTAAGGTTTTTTTTCACGACATCTTACGTGAGATAATCATTAATGAGGTGTTTGTGGCTTTTGATGTTTATGCACATCGTGATCTCGACTACTGGGTGGCTTAAGTCATATGTTATGTACGTCATAACTTCTTTATATGATCTCGGATTCTAACGATTATTATATTTATGCGTTCGTATTTTAATCTATTATAACTTTCATTTAGATTACTTCCGTTAAAAGATAATATATTTTTACTAACGATCTTTATACCATACGTTCTTTATAAATTCATGTATGAATGTTTTTTTTAAATCGTAAGTAAAAATATATTACATTTTAGTGAGAATAAGCTTAACAAAAGTTATAGTAGACTCAAAAAACTAACACGTGGATATAAAGATAATTAAAACTTGATATCGTATGAAGAAGTTACGATATTCAGAACACAAGACCTAAGTTAAACCACAAGACTTATACAATGAAACAATCTAGATCGCGATAAACTTAAGCATCAACAGCCCCAAACACTTCATTAATGATTGTCTCATGTAAGATGTCGTGAGAAAAACCTGAATATTTTATTCATAAATACTGAATGAGTACAAAAATAAAAATGACTTATTTTGAAACAAAAAATATTAAAAACTAAATATGTATAATAAAGACTAAATGTGTGCAAATGAGAAATATATTATTCTATTAAGTTATTTTTTCGGTTAATCTTGAGTAATCGGTCATAATAATTAAATGTATACAGTTTAACAAGTTGAAAGAGTAAATATTAAAAAATAAATAAATAAAAAATAAAACTCAACGACAAAATACATATAAAATAAAAAATATATTACCCTTTTTTAAGACATCCATTTTGTAAAAAGTCCTAAAAAGCATGGCTATTTTTTCATTTAGTTGAAAATGCTGTATGTATGTATCAAGTTAACAAAGTTGGTCTTTACCAAACCAGAGCGCCGGTGGTTGGTGAGATCCAAGAAATCCCCAACTCTCAATTTCAAACTTAAAAATCACAAACGTTCGAAGCAAGAAGACTATGATGCAGTTTGGATACCTTCTTTAGTAGGACCCGAATGAGATCTACATTCGAATTTTAGAAAGTAAACAAGTCTCTGCGTTCTATCAAAGCCTTTTCCTTTATCAAATTTGTCCACTTTTCTACCCACCATAATTTAAGAACTCAAAGGGCGTCTTCAGGATTCTTCAACCGAAAGTTCTTTCACTTCCACATCTTCGAATTGTTAATGTAAGCTTTGATTTCCATTTCGATGTTCTTTCTTTTTTGGTTCTGCTTCACTTTCAACAGATGTTTGTTTCATGGTTTTAATTTCACCCATTTCCCTCAAGTTTTTTGTGCGTATTTGAATGCTTGTTCTAGGGTTTTTGTTTTAAGTATCTGATCTGTGTTCAAGGTATTTGCTTTTGAAGATACGATACTTCTATAATCAGTTAATTCATTATTTTTTTTTTTCTGTCTAGAAATCAACATGTATACAACAGTGACATTTACCATAATTATAATTGGTTTTCCTGATGCCAGAGGAATTTGATGGAAGGATTGATCTGTTCGCGAATAATTCCTATTCGGGCTTATGGTAATCAGCGAAACACCCCCTTCTTTCCATCATATACATCGAGCAAAAGAAGAATCTTTTATGGTCCAATCAGAATGATGGGACCTTCCACATCACCCAACTCAAAAGCTGGCTCCATTAAGCCATTAACAGCCTCCTCATCAGACCTATTCGACAATACATTACCTTCCAAAGGTATTTCATCCATCATATATTTCACTTTTTATTAAGTTAATCAAAATAGCATTGATTTAACTGGATCCTTCTTGAACACTTCAGAGGTTCTTGATCTATGGCAGAAAGCTGATGCTGTATGCTTTGATGTGGATAGCACTGTGTGTCTGGATGAGGGCATTGATGAACTTGCTGAGTTTTGTGGAGCTGGGAAAGCTGTTGCTGAATGGACTGCTAGGTTAAATCATTCATATCTTTTGTGCTTAATTAAAATTAATTATTTTTACGATTATATTTATTTGATTGTTTGCTTACAGAGCAATGGGTGGTTCAGTGCCCTTTGAAGAAGCCCTAGCTGCAAGACTCTCTCTATTCAAACCTTCATTATCAACAGTTGAAGATTTTCTTGAAAAGAGGCCCCCAAAGTATGTTTCCCTTTCTTGCCTCTCAAATGAAAAACCCTAATAAATTGAAATATGAGATATGCAATGATTGACTTGACTTTTTTTTTTATTATTATTTATTTTGAAAATTGGTAGACTTTCACCTGGCATAATGGAATTGGTTGAGAAGCTCAAGGGAAGTGGTAAAGATGTATACCTCATATCTGGAGGTTTTCGTCAAATGATCAATGTAAGCCATCCATTAATCAAATAACTGCTTTTTTGAATGTTTATTTATTTATTTTTATGTTTTTTGGTAGCCGGTTGCATCAATCCTAGGGGTAAAACTGGAAAATATATTCGCCAATCAACTGCTATTCAAGAGTTCCGGTGAGTTTGCTGGTTTTGATGCAAATGAGCCAACTTCTAGAAGCGGAGGAAAACCAACTGCAGTTGAACTAATAAGAAAGGTTAGCCTTTTTTTTGTCAGCTTAAATTTACAGCTATCAGCTAACTTTTCAGCTAGTCCGCAAAACATAGCCTTAGATCAAATAAACTGTCTGAATTTTGAGTACATGCCGTTTTACATTGTTGTATACTTGTCTCACTTAACCTATTGAAACATGCTTAATGCATTAAGTAAAAAAGAAACGCGCTATATATATGTGTCTGGATAAAGTGCTTAATGTATTAAGCCCTTTAAATATTTTTAACACAAAGTTAATGAAATTGTCAGACTCATGGATACAAGACAGTAGTAATGATTGGCGATGGTGCGACTGATCTTGAGGTAAGAATAACTCGAAATCTAAATTTGTTTGGTTTGTTGACAAAGTGGTTTGACTTTAGAGATCCATTATTATTATTATTATTGTTATTATTTATTTATTTATTTTTAAAATAGGCTCGAAGACCGGGATGTGCGGATCTTTTTATCTGCTATGGTGGCGTCCAGCTTAGGGAGGCTGTGTCTTCAAAAGCGGATTGGCTAGTGTTCAACTTCAAAGACCTTATAAACTCTTTGGAATAACTTCAAACCTGATTTAAAATTTGTTAAACATGATTTATATGATTTGCTTCATGGGTGAGCAAGTTTTTTAAATTAGATTGTTTGGTAGATGTTTTGTTAAACTGTTTATAGCCATTTAAGAGAAGAAAATTAATTAGGTGAAACAAGGGGATTGAAGTTTACAATTGGTTAGGTTGATTTTATGATTTGTTAGTAGGTTTGGTGGATATACTACAATAATTGTGTTCCATAGTCATGTGCATCTTCTTTTTCGTTGTCCCAAATGATTCTATGTTTATATCAAATGGTTTTATGTTTATATTGTAGGGTAAATCATACTTTATTTGTCCACCCTTAGTCCACTAAAACTTTAATCAAAATTTAAGACAAAATTACATAAATGGTCCATGTGGTTTACCAAACTTCACAACTTTAGTCTTGCTAAGTTTTTGTTTTTGTTTTGTTTTTTTTTTTATGAACATGGTTGTGTGGTTTGATTCCTATGGTTTATTTTTGTTACAAATTTAATATGGAATTACTATTATACTCTTTCCATTTTTTTTTCATTTATATAATTTTACTTAAAAGTAAATAAATAAATAGAAACACCATCCTACTCATCTCTTTTTTTCTCTCTCCAAAACCTTCTCCTATGTTTACTCCGATGGTTGCCTTCCTCTACCCTACCATATGATTCCATCGTCGAGCTTCAACCCAACCACTATAGGACTTCAACATAGCAACCCCTGATCTTGAAACCCTCTGTCTCCTTTTATTTTCTACATGTAGGTGTGATACAAATTATTGGAGATGAAGTTAAGCTTTTTTAAAGGTGTATGTAGTGTATTAAACCCATAGGTTATCGGAGGTGAAGTGAAGCTTTTTGAAAGAGGTTATTGAGGCAATGGAACATAAGTCGTGTTTAAGCATGTTGATGTTGCTAAAATTGAACCCAACAAAAACATTACTTTTGTTTCTTGAACTGATCGGAGCCAATTGATGTGCTTCATATCTAGATAAACTAGTTCATGCCCCCAATTGGATCGAAACCTGTCTAAATAAATAACAAGTTTATCCAATAATTCTGAAATCGATGAAGGGCTAGTAAATCTCTAAAATCAGAAATGAAGTCACTATAAGATATTAAAATTGGAATTGGAATCACTCCAAGCTTTTAAAATCGGAACAAAAATAATCGACAATTGAGCTAGGAGATACTGGAAGGGGCGGTGGAGGATCACAGAGAGAGTCTCTAAAGCTTATCTTCAAATAAATCCAATCATTAGAACAACCATCGCCGCCGCCATCAACTAAAGTTTCTCTCTAACTTCTCTTTCACCCCAAATAATTTCAAGGCCTAAGGTTTCTTGAAACGGACAAATCGAGTTCGAAAATCACTAACTTACTTTTAAGGCATCAACCTATGCCTTCTGCAAATTGAACTAGTTAAAGAATAACAAATCAATTTGAGGTATGGGGTTTCTTGAATCAATTTCGAAAATCGTAAATCGCATTAAGGCATCAACCACGCAATTTAAAGAATCAATTACATGCCTTCTGCAAACTGAGTTCAAAATTTACAAAGCCAATGATGAGGATGAAGGGAGTTTGTTTCAGGTAGGTGTGTGTGTGTTGGGTGGGTGGGTGTGTGTATGTATGTATGTGTGTGTTGGGTGGGTGGGAAGAGGTGGTGGACCCATCAATTGTTAAGTTCCTTTTAATAAAAAGTTGGTTAGAATCTATATATATATATATATATATATATATATATATATATATATATATATATATATATATATATATATATATATATATAAACAAACAAACAAAAAATGGTATATTAGTCATTTTATGCTTAACGACCACTAATGCAAGTTTAAAAACCATATGGACGATATTCATCAAAAAAATTAGCAGGGATTGAAGTTGTGATCGTTCGTAGACTTTAAAACTTGAAATTTAAAATCATGGTTTAGATATATTTAAAAAAAAAATATAAAAATAAAAATAAAAGAAGGTGCGATTGAAATGCTAAAGTTATGGTTAAGATGAATTTACCCCCAAAAAAGGTGGTTGAAATTGTTAAGTTGTAGTTTTCTAAATCATAGGTATGGTTGGACCTTAAAGAGGTGTTGGGTGTGCAGTCGCATAGGGCCTATGTCGTGAAAGGGCCCAAATTTTAATTTTTTGATAATTCGTCACTAATCTATAGCTCTAGCAAATTTGTCGCTAATCTATAACTAGTCATCAATATCGGTTGCTAATCTATTGTCATCTATTTGTATCATCCAATTTCGGGATGTTTCTTATTTCAGGATAACGGATTATAATTCGATCAGGTAAAGGTCTCAGGCTTCAAGGGATAAAGTTTGGACTTTATTACATGTTGATAACATTGGTTAAGTGATTTAAGCCCTTTAATTATGTATCAGAAACAAAAAAATGGGGTAAATGGGAAAAGTGATATTTTTGTCATTTGTGTGTATTAATAAAATTAGTTAAGTTTGCTTTAAGCTAAAAGTAATTTGATAGAATTGTGGGTCTAACCAATACCTTTCCGTGCATATAAAGATTACTTAAAACGAGTTTAGAACGAAGACGTTATGGTTGTTTGAATAATTCGTTGAAATCTTAAAAACATAATTGGCCCTAACATGGTTTGGGTCATAGGCGCAACTTGCCTGTATTGGGAGCGCGACGTACTTTAGGCCAGTCCCTCACGGGTTTTAGGGTTTTATGGGTTATTTAAGCAACCTTTACCCATTTTGGTCATTTCTTGGCCTTTCAAACCCTAGAATGTTCATTTGGAGAAACCTAACTCTTTTGAGTGTTTGTGAGCCATCCTCTCTCCTCTCATCAACTTTTGTGTGTTGGTGCAAGAAGTGAAGGAAATCATCAAATCTTGCCTTAAGTGGTGTTGTAAGTGAAGAATCAACACTCCTTGTGTTTATTGACCCTTGTAAGTCTTAAAGTTCATTGCTTTATTGATTTTACCTTATGATCTAAGAGTATTTAGTATTTATGTCCTCATTTATGAAGTTTTAGTCCCTTTATGCCTTGATCTATGGATTTTGGACAACTCCATAATCTTTGGACTGTTAAATGTTTCAGATGTGAGTTTTGGTGCTTACATGTCCTTTCATGCTTTATCCATGCATAAAATGAAATCTTGTACTTTTAAGGACTTTAATGCCAGATCTTGTTAGTTGGGGGATTGATAATGAATAACTTTGGAAACTTTATCCATTAAGGCATCTTTTAGGAACAAATATGAGATTCGAGAAAGTAACTTAATGAATTATGTCATTTTAAACATGGAACTCAGCTGAGGTATGGGGCGCCTGTAAGGTAGCACTACACACTTTTTAGACTTTCAAATTTGTTCTGATTTAAGACAAATTCGATTATTTTTTCTTTAGCCAAGCTCGATGCGCTCTTTTCTAGGTGCAAGGCGCCTTTATCTTGTCTTGGTTTCAGATTTTGTCACATTTGGCCTCCAGACCTAGTTGGACTTTGGAGTTGAATTTTAGACTGATGTTTGACATCTTATTTAATATTTAGGTGATTGTGGGACCGACCTTACGGGTTTTCGTGAGTAGTTATGATTGACTTAGAGTCTGATTAGGTGAGACAAATCTTGAGGTAAGAGTAACTTGAAATCTAAATCTCTTTCGTTTGTTTACCAAGTGGTTTCACTTTACTGTTTATAGATCAATTTATTTTTTTCTTTTTTAAAAAATATGCTCGAAAACCAGGATGTGTGAATCTTTTTATCTACTATGGTAGCGTCCACCTTAGGGAGGTTGTGTCTTTAAAAGCGGATTGATTGGTGTTCAATTTTAAAGACCTTATAAACTCTTTGGAATAACTTCAAATCCTATTTGTAATATTTGTTTAACATGAATTTATATGATTTGTTTATGGGTGAGCATGTTTTTTCTTATAAAATTATATGGCTTGATAGATGTTTTGTTAAACTATTTATAGCCAATGAAGAGAAGAAAATTAATTAAGCGAAACAAGGGGCTTAAAGCTTACAATATGTTAGGTAGATTTTATGATTCGTTAGTGGTTTTGATGGATATACTACAATCATTGTGTTCCAAAGTCATGTACATCTTATTTTTCTTTGTCCCAAATGATTTTATGTTTAAATTGTAGGGTTAACGATACTTTTTGTCTAGCCTTAGTCAACTAAGATTTTAAACAAAATTTAATGCTTAAATTTGGACAAATGATATAATTGGTTATCCAACATGTCACTAACCTTGCATTTGTTAACAAAATAACCAAGAAAAAGGAAGAAATTTTTTATAGGTTTCGAGCTATACATCATTCATATGGTGTACATGCAAACCCTAATAGTTTTTGGATCTAGTTTGTCTAATGAACATGCAACTGAATATCCAAAGCTATAAACCCTAGATCTAGCATACAATTAATCAGATTAACACAAAATAGGGTTTAGATCTAACCTTTGATTGTTATATAGCAATAACAATCTAATCCTTGGCTTCAAAAAGCTTAGTGCCTCAAGTGTTGCACCTTTAATGGAGTCACAAACACCACTAAGCAACAAGATGAAGAAGAGAAAAAGAAGGAGGCTCCAGAACGTCAAGGAAACCCTAAGGATTCATTCCCCATGTTTTTGAGGCCTTAGGGGTCTTTATATACTTAGGCTATTAGGGTTTTGAACTTAGGAAACCCTGATTTGACTACTTAGGCCCTAAGCAGTCCCTGGACTCCTTTAATTATATCCCTTGGACGTCCAACCTATATTATTAGGTGATCCATAACCCAATTACAATTATCTTATAATTACAAATCTAGTCCCCTAAGTTTAATTAATCTTTTTTAGCCATAAAATTAATTCTTAATTAATTCTTGACTAATACTAATTAAACTATATGATTTCTCCTTTAATATATTATTCTTATAATATATTAATAAATCATAATTAAACTTTTCTCTATCCAAAATTCATCCTACAAGTTGCTATGGTGAAGGCAACCCAAAAGGACCATGCTCATAATCGGGTCAAGTACATACCAAAATAGTTATGGACTTAGATACTAATCCAACAGTCTCCTACTTGGATAAGTCTAATAACTATTTTCCATAACTTCAGAACCTGATTAGCAATCGTAGCTTTCAAAAGCCCCTGTCAACTCTGATCTTATCAGATATGCGTGTCCTTTAGATAAGGGATCATATATTCCTCCATTCTCAAGATATTGTATAGACACGAGACATGGATTTTAATCATTCTCTCTATATTGTTTCCCGACATCCTATTTATGACGACTGACAACAGACTACAA